ATGGTGATGGCTAGCACGAGGGGACATAGCTTTAAATTGAGGGGTGACAGATATAGGACAGATGTCAGAGGTAGGTTCTTTACTCAGAGAGTAGTAAGGGCATGGAATGCCCTGCCTGCAAAAATAGTAGACTCGCCCACTTTAAGGGCATTTAAATGGTCATTGGATAAACATATGGATGATAATGGAATAGTTTAGGTTAGATGGGCTTCAGATTGGTTTCACAGGTCGGCGCAACATCGAGGGCCGAAGGGCCTGTACTGCGCTGTAATGTTCTATGTTCTATGTTCTATGTTCTAGACACAGAGAGAATGTTTCTCCCAATGGCAGGGGTCAATTTTTTTTTTACCTTGAGGGCTGTTGACATTTTATGAAGGGCTATTCTTTGACAGCTTTTTTTATTGGGTCTTCATGGACTCCTTTTCTATTTCCATTAGCTCTTTTATTAGATGATGCAGTCATGTAGTAATATTACTTTCTATATTTGTGTTGACATATGGGGGTATTTGGATTCACACAGAAGCAGAAATAGAAGAATTCATCAAAACCCTCAACAATTATTACCCTCCATTAAGTTTAAAGCCGCAACTTACAAGGAAAGCATTAATTCCGTAAATGCCATGGTATTTGAATTGGCACAGAAAATTCTTCAGTAGACCAAATTTCCATTGCACATGCACAAAGCTGGACAACTTCTTCTAACGTTTAATGTGCTTTTTACTGCCCATCAAATCTCCATTTTAGATTGAATTTTAACAATTAGTCTAACCTTGGTCTAATTGGTCTAATCTAGTGCCAATTTCTATTTGAAGAAGAGTTCCAAACTTTTACTAGTCTTTATGTGCAGGGGTGTTTCTGAATTTCAGTTCTGGGCAATTTGGTTCTAATCTTCCGATTATACTTTCTATCAACTCTTCTAACTTAATTAGTCATTTACTCCTCATTACTTTTCCTTTGTTATAACTGGTACTAGATTTTCAAACTAGCTCTTAGACTTTAAAACATTTTGTGAAGTTCTAAAGTCATAAAAGGCACTAAAAAAATACAAGTCATTCATTGCTGTTTGGGATCTTAGTCTATGTTAAATGGCTGCATGTTTGTCCCCAGTATGGTCATTGAACCGCAAATATGTTGGCAGACTGCCAGATCTGTGATATGACTTGTGGCAGATCAATAATGTTTCCTGTAAGTAGACAAAGTGTGGGGTTCAAGTATATACAAAGAGAATAAAGCCGCAAAATTCCATGGTTTTAGACAAATGGCAATAGACTTTACTATACAAGTTAGAACAGCAATACAATTTGCTACAAGATAGAAATTTACTGATGTAGATATGAGTAACTGGACAAACTCAGAGCATATCAAATGGCAGAAGTGGTCAAGTCAGCGCCCACGCATGTATCAGCAACCCTTCCAGACTTAATGACACAGTGAGGTCATGAAAGCTGATTAAAACTTTGCAAGGAATTCCAATTGTCCTCTTTTGGAGAGTTAACCTTGGAACTCCTTCAAAAGTGACTCCATCACAGACTGCTTCAATGACTACTCACTTTCTAGTAGTTCAGCTTCCTTTCCTAGGTGTACGAATTCACCTGTTGCTCCTGTGTATTTTGAACCCTGCATCCTGGGTGAGCTTAGAATCAGGAGCACAGTTTCAAAATAAGTTTCCCATTTAAGACAGAGATGAAGAGGGATGTGCCATGGAGGGTTGTACATTTTTGGAATTCACTTCCCCAGAGAGTTAAACAAACTTTTGGTCAATGAGGGAGTCGAGGGTTATGAGTGGCAGATAGGAAAGTTGAGACTGCTGTCAGATCATCCATCTTCTTGATTGGCAGAGCAGGGGCCAAATGACTTACTCCAGCTCCTGTTTCTTATACTGTCATTGTTCATGAATCAATGAGGTCTCGGAAGGTTTCAGGGCGGTCATGGGTTTTAAACTGGCAGGCAAGGGGCCAAGCAAGAGCTCCTGGTACAGTTACTTATAGTGACTGCTGTATCTGGATTCCCAAAACCCTTTGCTCCTCCATAACACCTTTTCAAAAAAAAAAATCCAGTTGTTCGTTCCTGGAGTTAACAATCTCACCCTTTTCCCTTATTGAACTCCATCTCCTACAGCTATTCCCAATGACCTTGTCTGTTTTCAATGGAACAAGCTTGAAGAGCCAAAAGCCTTCTTCCTGCACTGTCCACACAACTTGCCGTGTCTTCAAACTCCTTGTTTTCTGCAAATTTTGATATACAACTATCTAACTCTTCAGCCACACCACCACTGATGGGCTCAGAATTTCCAAGGTGAAATTTGGAGATTGAGCCCGTTGCACTACAACTAATTTAACACATATAAATTGGAAACAAAATCCCACTGAAGGAGTTGCGTGTAGGTGTTAAAGTTGATAGTTCCGTGTATTGGGAGTAAAATTGATTCATCTAGTCCAGGAAATGTGTTTAATAATATAATCAAATATAAAAATGTGTTATCCACTTTATTACTTAAAAAGAGGTCTCTAATGAGATATTTTCTACCCAGACTTCCCTGCCTCTTTAACAATGTAATGGAATTGTGCTCAATTTTGTTTTAAGTTCAATGATTGGAGGAACCATCAACAGGAGAGGAAGGGTCACGGTTTCCCTCACCTTTTGTAATGGGGCAAAATGATTTGGAAACATAACAAGTGTCGATTGCCTGAGGGAATGGGGAGGTCACTAGAACATCATGTTAAGTATGTACTGGGCTACCCATCACACAACAAACATTCCAGTAAACGTTAGCTGGGTGGAAGATGACAGGCAGCTGGTGGTTGGGTTATGAAAGGCCAGAGATTTCCCTTAAAGCTGTTCCTGTGTTTTGCCTTCTCCCAAGGGAGACGTTAGCAAGAGAAGTCCAATTCAACAAATACACATAAAGAAGTGAGGATAGAATATCGAGTCATGAGTTTAGGAGAAAATTAGTAAATGGTAATCTTTTGTACCTGATATTAACAGTAGACAATAGGAAGATGTAGAAGAAGAAATTTCAGACCTGGCTACTCATTCATAGTTGGCCGTCTGCTTTTGTTTTTTGTCTTCTCAGTGTCTTGAGTATCTTTCATTTATGCCACCTGTAATAGGCTTAGATCTGGTATCTCACTTAGCCTCATTCACGTTTTGAGTGAATTGTAGGTCATTAGATTCATATTTCCTCTTGTGTGAGACTGTGCATGTACTGATGTGCATGTTGTACCTGTATGACTGTATCTATCTATATTTGTGCATGAGTATGTGCGTTTACGTGAATGGAAGTGTGTGTTGAATGTATTTTTTGAGTGTGTGGATGTGTGTGTTCTTATCTGTGTAGGTATGGCTGCCCATGTGTATTGTGCATATGAGTTCGCATTTGTGAGAGTGTTTGTGAATGAGATTGCCTGGGTGAGGGAGTTTTTAGTGAATTCTAAGAGGATCTAAATGCTCCCCTCAACCACCCAACTCCCCCCCCATGCACCGTTTCTCTTTCACCACATTGTGGTCTATTTCTGCTGCAGGTTTTATTGGTTATGCTCCAGTCATCAACGACATTGTCCAGCAGTGGAAGTTCAAGGATGATGATGATGACCAGCTTTTCTACACTAAGATTTATCTCAATCCCAAACTGAGGGTGAGTCAGGGAGTTCGGGGAACAGAAGACAAAGCCGAAACAAAATCATCCTACTTCCTCCCTCAACAGAGAAAACTCACAGTCTATCACTGACCATTGAGATCTCTGGTTGATTTCCCAATTTTCGGGGTCCCTTGATGTTCACTGATCTGAGACTAGACAGAGAACATGGTTTGAATGCACCTCCAGAGCAATTTTCTTTTGGATGAATTGTTGTACTGATGATCCCCCCCCCACCATCTGCCTTCCATTAGGCTTGTAAAATATCCCACATCAGCTATTTCAAAGAGAAATAATTTGGGATTCTCCCCAGTTCTCCTGGGGCCAACATTTGCCCATTGACCGGTATTGCTAAATACAGAAAACAGGCGATTTGGCGAACTGTGCACAACATAGCTGCCTGGTTTTCTAAAATGGCTAGACTTAAAAAATAGAAAAACTGAGTGTGTAAAAGTCTGAAATGCTAATTTTTTTTTCTACAGGAGAAGTACAAGATGGCTCTAGATCACCAATCAACAATCTTTCAAAATCTCAATGGTGCTTTAGGTAAACTCTCAATCTTCCACTATCCCCTGCCTGCCACCACCTTCACTGCACTGTGTCCCCTCCCTGGCCCCATCTTAAATTTAATTCCTGTTCCTTCTGACTAAACACTGGATTCCTCTGGGATCTGAAGAAGTTTGATCATAAGGAGCAAGAATAGGCCATTCAGCCCCTCCAACCTTGTCTACTGCTCAGTAAGAGTGTGGCTGATCTGATTGTGGCTTAACTCCACTTTCTACAGTCATTCATCTGTCTAACTCTGCCTTTAATATTTTTAATGAGCCAGCCTCTACTGCTGTCTGGGTGAGAGAATTTCAAACACTGAGAGAAGAAATTCCTCCACATCGCCATCTTCAATGGGAGATACTTTATTTTCAAGTGATACCCCTTGGTTCTAGATTCACCATGAAGAGGCAGTGTCATCTCAGCACCTACCCTGTCAAACTCCCTCAGAATTGTTTTAGTTTCAATACAATCACCTTTTGTTCTTCTAGACTTCAATGAGTATAGGGTGGCATGGTGGCTCAGTGGTTATCCCCGCTGCCCCACGGTGCCAGGGATTTGGTTCGATTCCACCCTCAGGCAACTGTCTGTGTGGAGTTTGCACATTGTGCATGGGACCCCTATAAATGCTGAGTCATACCCCCAAAGCCTGTAACACTGATACTATCCGCCCCCCCCCCCCCCGCCAACCCACCCAGGACCCGCTGTAAATACTGACACACTCCCCTCTACCCCCCTGCTCCAGTTTCCTTCCACAGTCTAAAGATGTGCAGGTTAGCTGGAGTGGCCTTGCTAAATTGCCCATTGCATTCAGGAATGTGATAGGTGGGTTAGCCATGGGAAATGCAGGGTTACAGCGATTGGGTACGGTAGTGGGTCTGGGTGAGATGCTCTTCAGACGGTCGATATGGACCCGATGAGCTGAATAGCCTGCATCCACACTGTAGGGATTCTATGATTCTATGACATAGGTCCAGCACGGTCCTTGACCACCTCTGGAATGACTCTGTGTGTGAATACATCCTCAGCATTAGCATTAGACGAGCTGAGGTCCCCTCTTTGGTCTGCTGTCTGGCCATCATGGGAGCTGAACTCGGATGTTAGGTCTGTGATCTTATTGAAAGGAGGTCACTCCCCCCACTCCACCACAACCGATTGATGCTCCGCCCTCCCCATGCCAAAGAACTGGGAATTCAGGTGTTGTTTGATGTGTGGTGTTACTAACCGCTGGCTGTCATTGCTTTAACCATCCCCGTGGCTTACCATCTTCCAGATGAAATTGTCGTGAAGTTTGAGAAAGGAAAAGCCAGAATCCGCAACATAGCCCAGGATACGCTGCCAGTGATCGTCCATGGCAATGGACCTACCAAGGTAACTGGGTCTCGGCTCAATCCCTGCCATGAATGAGTGATTGGGTAGATTGTTGGGAAGGTATTAGTGGAAGATGTTATACTAACACTTCATAAACAACAAAAAACGCCCAACAAGTGATCCAAGCATCTGTCTTTCCATACTAGAATTGAGCCTCAATGGAGGACTTACAGATGATTAATACTGGGGTATAGTACTTGTGAACACAGATCTGTTACTATATAACACTAGGGTGCAGTACTGGTGATGACAGGTCTCTCACTGTATAAGACTTGGATACAGTGTTGGTGGAGTCAGAGCTGTCACTGTATTGTATTCGTCTGCAGTACTGGGGACAGGTCTGTCACTGTATAACACAGGTACAGTGCTGGTGTGGACAGGTCTGTCACTGTATAACACTAGGATGCAATACCGCTGGGGTCAGGTCAGTCACTGTATAACACTGGGGTACAGTGCTGGTGGGGATAGGTCTTTCACTGTATAACAAATGGGGTACAGTACTGGTTGGAGAGGAGATGTTTTGAAGAGGACTGTGTGTATTTTGAGCTGTGACTTTGAGGGGTCACTCTGTCTGATAGCACGACAGAACTGGACCAATTTCACGCTGACACCTGAGTGAATCAAGGTGATTAATTAGTCCCACATCTTAAAGAGGCTCAGGCGAGTCAGGAAGGGGAATGTGAAACACCTTTCCCTGTGTCATACCCCCAAATGAAATGTGTGTATTTCTGTGAACCTTGGTTGCTGCAAGTTGAATTCTGGAACATCCTTCTCACCCTTAGCTGCAACTGAACTATTTGGGGAATTATATTCCGAATGCCTGGAACCACGAGACTGGATGTGGAATATGTGATGAGGACTTGTTAGACCTGACACAGCTACAGGTAAACCTCATGGCCATGCATGTGTGTTACTGTGTGCGTACATGTGTGTCATTGTGTGTGCACGTGTATGTAAATATATATCCGCCAATCTCTCTGTCCATCCTTCCTCAGTTCTAACAACCTCAAAACCTTGTTCCTTTTGTTTTTGTTTCTCTCTGTTTCATTGATTTTCTCTCTGCTTGACTTGGCTCTTACTTTATTTACATCCATCTTATTCTCTATTTGTCACTCTTTCTATATGTAATTGTCTGCTTCTCTCCTTGTATAAGACCATAAGAAATCAATGAGGAGGAGGAGATTCACTCCTTTGAGCCCGCTGGGCTATTCAATGATCTACTTCAACACCATTTTACTCCACTATCCCTGTGTTCTTGACGTTCTTAATATGTAGATATTTATCAATCTCAGTCTTGAGCACTCAATGACAGCTTCCGCAAGCTTCTGGGGCAGACAGTTCCAAAGATTCATCACCCTCTAAGTTAAGAAATCCCTCCTCCTCTCAGAACTGCCTCTTTATGCACGGATTTTTGTCCCCTGGTCTGGCTCTTTCCCAGACCAGCAAGAAACATCCTTCCTGCATCCACCCTGTTGAGCCCTATAAAAGTTTAGTATGTCTGAATGAGATCATCTTTCATTCTTCTAAACTCTGGAGAGTATAGAACATAGAACAGTACAGCACAGGAACAGGCCCTTCGGCCCACGATGTTGTGTCAAACATGATGCCAAATTAAACTAATCTCATCTGCCTGCCGTTGGTCCATATGCTTACATTCCTTGCATATTCATGTGCTTATCTAAAAGTCTCTTAAATGCCCCTATCATATCTGCCTTTACCACTAGTCCTGGCAGTACGTTCCAGGCACCTACCATTCTCTGATTTAAAGAAACACTGTCCCTTACATCTCCTTTGAACTTTCCCCCTCTCACCTTAAATGGATGGCCCCTAGTATTAGACATTTCAACTCTGGTAAAAAGATACTGTCTGTCAACCCTATCTACGCATTTCATAATTTCATAGACTTCTACCAATTCTCCCCTCAGCCTCCACCGGAGTCCAGAGAAAACAATCTGAGTTATTCTAGCCCCTCCTTATAGCTCATACCTTCTAATCCAGGCAGCATCTTGGTAAATCTCTTCTGCACCCTCGCCAAAGCCTCCACATCCTGCCTGTAATGTAGTGACCAGAATTGAACACAATGCTCAAAGTGAGATGTAACCAAAGTCTTATAATGCTGCAACATGACATCTTGACTCTTGTACTCACTTCCCCGAACAGTAAAGGCAAGTATGCCATATGCCGCCTTTGCCACGCTATCTACTTGCATGGCCACTTTCAGGGAGTTATGGACATGAACCCCAGGATACCTCTGTGCATCAATGTATAGGCTCAGTCTATTTAATCTTCCATCATAGGATAATCCTGCCATCCCAAGGATTAGTTTAATGAACCTTTGTTGCACTCCCTCAAAGGCATGTATATAATTCTGTAGCTAAGGAAAATGAATTTCCACACAATTTTCTAGGTGTGATCTTACTAAGACTTTCTATAATTGCAGTAAGATCTCTTTGCTACACACCACCTCCCCATATAAAGGAGTAATGGTGTAACTGGATGAGTAATCTAGAACCCCAGCTAATATTCTGAGGTCATGTGTTTAAATGCCACATTGGCAGTTGGTCAAATTTCAATTCAGGAAGAAATCTAGAATTAAAGCTGGTTTAATGGCATCCACTATTGATTGTTGTTTATAAAAGAACTAATTTGGTTCACTAATGTCCTTTAGGGAAGGAAATCTGCCATCCTTACCTGTTCTGGCCTACATGTGAATCCAAACCCACAGCAATGTGGTTGACTCTTAATTGCCCTAAAAAGTCTCACAGTTCAATGGCGATTAGTGATGGGCAACAAGGGAGGCGATGGCCTAGTGGTATTATTGCTGAACTGTTAATCCAGAGACCCAGGTATTGTCCTGGGGACCTGGGTTGGAATCCCACCACGGCAAATGGTTGAATTTGAAATCAGTAAATATCTGGAATTAAGAGTTTAATGATGATCATGAATTCATTGTCAATTGTCGGAAAAACCTATCTGGTTCACCAATGTCCTTTAGGGAAGGAAACTACCATCCTTATCTGGTTAGAGACAAAAAACCTGCAGATGCTGGAATCCAAGGTAGGCAAACAGGAGGCTGGAAGAACACAGCAAGCCAGGCAGCATCTGGAGGAAAGGAGCAATCATCTGTCCTGAAGAAGGACAAGCAGGACTATCCTGAAGGAGGGTAATACCTGAAATGTTGACTGCTCCTTTCCTCCAGATGCTGCCTGGCTTGCTGTGTTCTTTCAGCATCCTGTTTGTCTTACCTGCCATCCTTACCTGGCCTGGCCTACAAGTGACTCCAGACCCACAGCAATGTGGTTGACTCTTAACTGCCCACTGGGTAATTAGGGATGGGCAATAAATACTGACTTAGTCAGCAACACCCTCATTCCATGAATGAAAATTTTAAAAAACGCTGATCTTGCCAGCGACATTCTCATCCCCATATGATGAGAAATTTAGAAAAATCCGCTTTTCATACAGACCAACACACCATTTGCCATCTTAGTTGCTTACTGTACCTGCATGCTAACCTTCAGTCAATCATGAGCAAGGATGCTCAAATCTCTTTGATGTTCAATTTTTCCCAGCCTCTTGCCATTTAAAAAGTATTCTGAATTTTTGCTTTTCCTAACGAAGTGGATAATCTTGTGTTTCTCCACATTGTGTTCCATCTGGCAGATTCTTTCCTATTCACTCAGCCTCTCCAGATTCCCTTACTGCATCTTTCAGTCCGAGCATCTTTCATTCCCACCTAATATAACACAGTGTGGAGCTGGAGGAACCCCACTGTGAAGCCTCTTCTAAGGAATAACCCCACTGCGAAGCCTCTTCTAAGGATGCCTACTTTGAAGAAGTTACCCTCCTCCCTACAGAAATGTGTTCCTCCAGCTCCACACTGAGTTATCTCAGACTCCAACATCAGCAGTTCTTACTATCTCTTTCACTCCCACCTAGTCTTTCAGTAATCTCAAACTTAGAAGTATTATATTTAATCCCCACATCCAAATCATGGAGTTGGATTGTGAGTAGCTAGGGGCTAAGCATTGATCCCTGTGAAAGTCCAGTGATAGCATTCGCAACAGACCAACATGAAAACAACCAATTTAGTCCTGCTGTCTGTTTTCTGTGTGTTAATCAGTTCTCAATCTATACCAATCACATCACTGATTTAAGCTTGGTATCTGAAGCCCCTTTCAGAAAATCAAATTTTGCATCCTGATGAATTCAATTGCCCCACACGCAAAGTTTACTGGCTCCAAAAAATCCCACTGCCACCCCTGTGTGGCACTGTGCCTGTATCATGTTTCTCTCTATGTGTATTGTGTGTCACTCTGTAACTATGCGTATGCATGTCACTATGTTTGTGTCTTTCATCATGTATATTGCTGTATGTCAGTGTTTGTCTGTTTCACTACCTGTGTGTGTCTAGTGTGTGTCACTGTGTATGTTATGATGTGTATGCACATCATTGTATGTGTACGTGTGTGTGTGTGTCACTGTGTGTAGAAGTGTCTTTCATCATTTATTTCATGGTGTGTCAGTTTGTGCTTGTTTCATGTCTTTGTGTGTGTATATGCCACTGTGCGTGTCTGTCACTGGGGGTGTCATTATATGATGGTGTATGTGTGTCATGTGTCCATTTATATCATTGTGTATGTCAGTCTGTCACTGTGTGTGTGTTTGCTTTATTTTCTGCATCTGTGTCCACCTCTGTGTCCCTCCCTTGCTGTCTGAAATTAGAACAGCAGATTGACACAGGATCAAAGAAAGGAATTTCTATTCTCAGCGATCCTGCACATAGTCTCACACAGCTGTGCATATTGGATTGCCGGTTGCTCAGACATGTACTGCAGCTACAGCTTAGAACAATAAAGCAGTGGTTACCAGGGTAACTGGAAGAGGCCCAGGCACAATCCTGACTGTTTTGGTTTTAACACAAGAGTTGTGAACCATTTTAGAAGTATTATGCCATGTTCAAACCACCTGCGTAGCGGCTGTCAGCTATTCTTAATTCAGCTCGTTGACCTCAAGAAATTCAGAATTAAATGGATTGAGGAATTTAGTCAAATGTATTCTGACAAACACACTCCCATTTACTATCGTTAATTAATTGGTTAAATATTTGGAAAGGGTGGCTGCTGGAAAGAAATGTTATTTGACGGAATGACACAGTTACAGGAGTGTGTCGGTACTGGTGAGAGGGACCTGGGGTGGTCTGTCAGACTTTACAGGGGTCCTGGGATAGTGCGTGAATACTTATTGGGTTCCCCAGGGAGATGTGTCCGTAAGTACTTAGAGGGAGTCCCTGGGGGGAAGAGTGTCAGGATTTACATGGGTGCCAGTGGGGAGTGTGTCAGTATTTACTGAGGATCCTCAAGGGTATGTGTCAGTATTTACAGGAGCTCCCTGGGGTGTGGGGTCTGTCAGTATTTAAAGGGGATCCAGGGTGGGGGAAGTGTGTCAGTATTTATGGGGGACCCCAAGGGGAGATGTGTGTCAGTATTTACTGGGGCTGGTAGGCTTAGTGTGGGAGGGTTTGGATGGCCTGCGACCCCCTGCAGCCACTATAAAATCTGTTTTTGTGTCTGTCCATCACCTCAGGATGAAGATTATCCTCAGGTGCTGATTGCAGTCTTCATCCTGCAGCCGACCCCGTTTCTCCCGGAATTTCTGGAACGCCTTGCCGCCCTGGAATACCCACTAGAACAGCGGAGCCTCTTCATCTATAACAAGGTACACAGGGAGCCGGGTTTACCCAGAGTGTGTGTGTTGGTAGGACCAACCAGGATCTCTTAGAGATGCTAGCATCCTACTCCACTGAGGAATGTGGAGAGCGGTGGGTAGAGCATTTGAGCTGACTTTTCCTCTTCAGTGCCTTGACCCTGGCTCTGAAGGTTGTGGGTTTCGAGACTCATTACTAGAAAAAGGTCACGCCCCATAATCTAGATACCCCCTGCCCTACTGTGGTCACTGAAGGAGTGCTGCACTGTCAGAGGTGCCATTACTGAGTCTGACTGTTCCTTCAGATGGAAGTAGAGCTGGGATTGGTTCGGTGGTGTGCTTCTCTCTCTGATGTTCCAGGCCCAATATTTATTCATAGAATCCCTACAGTGTGGAAGCAGGCCCTTTGGCCCAACAAGTCCACACCGACATTCAGAGCATCCCACCCAGACCCATTCCCCTAATCTACACATCCCTGAACACTCTGGGCAATTTAGCGTGGCCAATCCACCTAACCTGCACATTTTTGGATTGTGGGAGGAAACCGGAGCACCAGAGGAAACCCACACAGACACGGGGAGAATGTGCAAACTCCACACAGACAGTCGCCTGAGGGTGGAAGTGAACCCGGGTTCCTGGTGCTGTGAGGCAGCAGTGCTAACCACTGAGCCACCGTGCTGTCCTCCCTCAGTGTAGGCAAAATAAAACAAGTTATTGAAACTGTGGGAGCTTGCTGTGTACGAATTGGCTGTCATGTTTCCTGTGTTACAATAACTTCATTGGCTGCAAAATGCTGGAGACAACCTCAGGCTTGTGATTAGTGCTATCCAAATGCATTGTTTTTGCATTGTCCTCTTGGCTGAGGGGCCGTGCAATATTTGAACAATACCCAAGCCCCCTGGGATTTGATGACCTTAGACTTCGGAGGGCAGCAAGAGGGTGGGATGAGTAACATTCGTGTCATGGGGTAAACAAGTGGACTCAAGAGTGACAATTTATTCGCTGTCTGCACATTCTAGCTGCAGCATGGGGAACCAGATGGGCGGGACTGTGATGGCATCTGCAGCTGAGCAGCCTGTCTGATGACTCATCAGGTTTTGGATGCGAGCCTTTCTAATGTTCCCGGCCACCATCGGACTAGGCCTGAACCGCTCAATGCCATGTTAAAGACGACATGGGCTGCCCCCAAGTCGCATCTGTGATTTAACTCTATTCTGTATATTTTCAAACAGGAGGTTTACCACGAGAAACACATCCAGACATTCTGGGAGGAGCACCAGGAGGATTTTTACAGCATTAAAGTCGTTGGCCCAGAGGAGGAAATGACGGAGGGTGAAGCCAGGGATATGGGGATGTGAGTCAGGCAATACTGACACTCCGACCAATTTAAACATTACCTTTCAGTTACCATGACAATGTGGGTGCTGTTGGTAGCATGAATGTTTGTACATTCATGCCATCATTACAACTGCCTGTATCCATTTCTGTAATCAGCTTGATTTCACCCATCTCAACTCAACTGCTACCCCCGTCCATGTCTCTGCTGTCTAGACTTGACTATTCTGTCACTCACCTAGGTGGTCCGTCACATTCTACTCTCCATAAACCAGTGTCATTCATAGTTCTACTGCCTGTCTCAACTTGCAGTGCCTCCTGTTCACCCATCAACTCTCTTTGTGGCTTTGCCCCTCCCCCCCCCCCCTCCAACACCCCTCCCTCTATAACACACCTCCCTATCTCTATAACCTCCTCCAGTCCTACACCCTTCCCTATCTCTGTCATTTCCTCCAGCCCCTACACCTCTCCCTCTATCTGTAACTGCCTGTGGCCCCTACACTCCTCCCTATCTCTGTCACCTCCTCCAACCCCTACACCCCTCCACCCCTCCCTATCTCTGTGACCTTGGCCAGCCACTACATCCCTCCCTTTCTCTAACTACCTCCAGCCCCTGCATTCCTCCATATCTCTGTCACCTCCTCGAGTCCCTACAAACCTCCTAGGTTGCTGTCCTTCTTAATTCTGGCCTGTTGAGCTTCCTCCAGTTTTAATCGTTTCAGCTGTTTGGGCCCCGAGCTCTGGAATTCTCTCCCTAAAGCTCTCTGCCGCTTTCTCCCACCCTCTCCTTATCTCTTTGGCCACAGGGAGATATCCTTCCTGCATCTACCCTGTCAAGCCCTGTAAGAATTATGTCTACTTGAATGAGATCCCTTCTCATTAATCAAAATTACAGGCATGATCTCCTCAATCTCTCCTAATAGGACAACACCTTCATGGAGCAGGTGAACGGTGAACCTTTAACAAACACAAAGAATGCTATGTTTTGAAGAAGAGTCACACCAGACTCAACATGTAATTCTCTCCATAAATGCTGTCAAATATGCTGGTTTCTGTATCATTCTCTGTTTGTTTAAGGCTTTCAGCATCTGCTATATTTTGCCTTCATTCAGAGGCCCCTTTGTTGTATTTCCCGTATGGTAAGTTTACCCTTCTTTGAGTAAGGAAATAGTTGGACAACTTCCTTTCTACGACAGCGACAGGTCCTTGTGTATGAATACGTATAGCTTTTGCCAAGCATAAGGCAGTCACGTTGTGAGTGTCACTGTTTGTCAGTGTGATTTATTTATTATTGCTCATTGCATTTGTTCATAGTCAGAGACATGTCTCTGCAAATGAAAGGAACGTGCCCAGTCCTCTGAGAAGTGGTGGAGGAGGGAGGGACTGAGGAGCTGATTTTGGCTGAGCGCCCTGTTCCTCTCCATATCCTCTGCCTTTTGAAGGGGAGCCAGTTTGTGCTTCATATTCCTCACCTTTCAACAAGAAGCTCACTTTCGATCCATCCATTGTGTTTCTCAGGCACATCTGTCGCCAGGACCCAGACTGTGACTATTATTTCAGCGTGGATGCCGATGTGGTCCTCAGTAATCCAGAGACCCTGAAGATCCTCATCGAGCACAATCGGTAAGATTAACTCGTCAGTCGTGCCCTCCTACTTACCATATCCGGACTTCTGTTACCTCTACACCCGACTACTCTAACATTATGCTGCTCTCCCTCCAACTTCCAATGCTGTGTAAAGTTTGAGCACATGCAAAATTCTGCCATCCCCACGAATCCTAACTCACACCAAAGCCTTGTTTGCTCATGACCAGCTGTGCTCACTAATTTGCATTGGTTCCCGGTTTAGCAAGAGCAGGTCAGAGGCTGGAAATTCTGAGGCAACTAACCAACCCCTTGGTTCCTTGACTGGCACCACATTCATTGCCTTCAACATTCACTCCCCCTACAACTGATGCACAGTGACAGGAGGGTGTGTGCCATTAGCAAGGTGCACTGCAGCAACTCGCCAAGGTTCGTTTGATAGCACCTTTGAACCGGAACAGCAGAGCCCTGCTACCTGCAAGTTCTCCTTCAAGCTACACACCATCCTGACTTGGTAATGTATTGCCATTCCTTCACTGTTGCTGGGTCAAGATCCTGGAGCTCCTTCCCCGTCAGCACTGTGGGTGTACCTACACCATATGGACCATAAGAAAGTGGCTCATCACCATCTTCTCAAGGGCATTTAGGGATGGGCAATAAATGCTGGCCAGCAAGAGATATCACTCTACCCATGGATGAATTAATTCAAAAATCTTAGTTTTAAAAATTGCATCGTTATTTTCAAATACTTTCCTGGCCCTTGCCTATCTCCCTCAACTCTAGCCCTATAACCATCTGAGATCTCTGCATTTCCCCAGCTCTGATCTTTGGAGTAACCCTCAGTTGCAGTTGCTCCACCATTGGTGGCTGTGACTTCAGCTGTTTGGGCTTCGATCTCTGGAATTCTGTCCCTAAACCCCTCCACCTCTGTCGCCTCCTTTATGACATTCCTTAAAACCAACCTCTTCAACCAACCTTTTGATCATCTATCCTAATGTTTCTTTGCGGGACTCGTGTCACATGTTGGATAACATTCCTCTGAAGTAGCCTTGGAGTTCTACTCTGTGATAAGGACATAAGAAACAGGAGCAGAAATGGGCCACTTGGCCTGTTCTGCCATTCAGTAAGATTGTGGCTGATGTGATTGTGGCATCAACTCCACTGTTCTATCTGTGCCTCATAATCCTTGTCTCCCTTTTCAATGATCCATTCTGCACTGCTCTCTGGGAAAGAGAATTCCAAACACAGATGATCTTCTGAGAGAAGAAATTCCTCCACACCTCTGTCTTAAGTGAGAGGTCTCTTATTTGAAAACTTTCCCCCTAATTGTAGTTTGCCTCAGATGGGAAGCAACCTTCTGAGTATCTGCCTTGTCAAGCCTCCTCAGGCTTTTGTTTGTCTCAATAAGATTCTGTCTTTAAATGCCAATGGATATAGACACCATCTAAATGCAAATTTAAGGGGTTTTGTTACACTTGCTCCTGAGGTTGGTGACACTCCCTGCTACAGTCAGCACTCTATTGATTACTGGTAGAAGACACTCAGAGGGTGATTGGGGTTTGGGGAGGTTTCACCTCGCCTTCCCCCACCATGCTGAGGGCAATGATAACAACTTCAAGCAGGCTCAGACTTGCAAATCCTGGCCCACATTCCCAGTGCCTCATTTTAACATCTCCATTGCCAAGTAGCACTGATCAAGGGCAGAGAGATCAAAAGATCATATAACTGGTGAGAGTGGAGTGTCAGATGATAAGTCTCTGCAGGTGACCTTGATCTCTCTGCCTATAAACTCTGTGCCTGTGTGCTCTGCTCTTTCACTATACCTGACGAAGAGGCTGCGCTCCGAAAGCTTGTGTGATTTCAAATAAACCTCTTGGACTATAACCTGGTGTCGTGTGACTTCTGACTTTGTCGTAAGAATCCATTTCATTCATGCCCTCCCACCCCCATATCATTTTCAGGGGAGGAAATTTGCTGTCTTACTAATGTGAAGTACTTTGGGATGTCCTGAAGTGGTGGAAAGTGCTATATAAATGCTTTCAATGAGCTTCACTCTCCACCTTGGCAGCTGAACCACTTTAAAATGTCTCCTCCTGCAAGTGGTTGACTGTCGCCACCTGGTGGATGTTGCCAGAAGACCATGACTTCTATCTGTCATGTGCGTCAAGAAGGTAATTGAGTCCATCAAAGAGGCTGGTGCAGAAGGAGGTCATTAAGTCCATTGTAAATAACATAAGTAAACAACGAGTAAATAATACCTTAATGTTGTGGCTACTAGAGCAGGTTAGAGGCTGGGATAATGTTTGAAATGATAACTTTTGCATTTATCTGAGAGGACACTTGGCTTAAGGTCTCAACCAAAAGATGGCTCCTCTAGTGTTGCAGAGTTCTGGAGTGAAGTCTTGAACCTGTGTCTTTCTGTCAATTGAACTCTGAGACAGGTTACATGGCCTAGCGGCCCCCACAGTTGTTGCTCTCGTGTTTAACCGTTGGCACTCTCTTGCCTGTCTTTCCCCCCCCGCAGGTTTGTGATCGCGCCAATGGTCAGTCGTCATGGCAAGCTGTGGTCCAACTTCTGGGGCGCGGTAAATGCTGACAGTTACTACAGCCGCTCGGAGGACTACATCGACATTGTGCAGTTGAAGAGAGTGTGAGTAATAGGTTTTATCAGCTTGGGCTGCTGGGCTTCAAATGAATTTGTGATTTAACAAGGTGTCGAGCTGGATGAACACAGCAGGCCAAGCAGCATCAGAGGAGCAGGAAGGCTGACGTTTCCGACCTAGACCCTTCTTTTTTTGCTCCTTTGTAAAGTGGTTGAATTCTGTCCCCAAATATGGTTTAATAACAACAAATATTGATGCACAGAATTGTAAGCAATGTAGATGGAAGCATTGTATTACAAGGAGAGATTAATAAAGTGAGTGAATGGACATAACTCCACTTTGGACCCATAAAGGTTCCTTAAATAGGGCACTTTCTAAATGGCAAAAAACAATGAGGGTGGATTTAGATGAAGAAAGATGAGAGGATGCTCAAATGGAGCTCGGGCACCAGAATAGACAGGTTGGGTCAAATGCCTCTTTTCTATGCTGTGCATTCAATGTAATTACAAAGTAGGCACCTCAGATTATGGTATTCGTGCTGGTTGTTTTGGGGATATCAAAACGTTTTCACTTCCTTTGATTGTATGGTTATCTGATTCATCTGCTTGCTTCTGTGTGATATACACACAAACACGTACGTGCACATGCATGTCACATCTGGGCAACCTGCTGCTGTAAGTGACTGGGACTGACTTTATGCACAGAATTATTCTCGTGTCTCTCCTCCACTGACTGTAATTTACTGGAGGAATCAACCTGCTTTTACTGGGAAAGGTTGCTGTTGTTTTTGCTGCAAACAGACTCTTTGTAAATACATCGGCCCCCAAGTTACGAATGTCCGACTTATGAACACCTGTACTTACAAACGCAACCCCATGCGGATGTGTAATTTTAAAAATCCAACATATAAATGTCTCCTGTACTCATAAACAGCAGTTTTATATTGTGCTGCATTGTGTTCCAAATTGTGTACGAAACAACTTGTGAACGGACTCAAAAACAGAATCCACTCGCAGCCTGCAGGGTCTGCAGGCCTTTTGATGTTTAACTAGGCCCTGTAGGCTACATGATGTACTGTGCCATTTACATAGTCTCTATAGACGGTTTGCTCCCTTATTATGCTGTTTATATAGACTGTAAACTGTTATAATGTGAACTTTATATAGATTCCTAGACTTTGCTAGAGATGTCCAGAAGAGCCAGTTGAATTCTCCAGCAGTGCAAACAGCCGATGGGGACCTTGAGAGGTGGACCATATATGTTAGGTTATCGTGAGCCCAGGGCTTGGTTGAGCAAGTTCGTGGAAAGGAGAGATTGAAAGAGAGATAGACAGAGATGATGGGAGGGAAGGATTGAGGTAGATCGAGGGCAATGGAGAGAGGGTAAAGAGGAACAGAGAGATAGACGAGTGAAAGATGGAGGGAAAGAAAGGATTGAGGGAGATGAAAGGAAAGAGATCTTGAGGGGGATGGCGGAAGATGTTTGGAAAGAGGGAGGGATTGAGGAAGATAGAGCGAGAGAAAGAGGGATTGAGGTGGAAATATTGAAGGAAACAATGGGTGGGAGAGTTGAGTCAAGTGGAGGAATTGGGGAAGATGAGAGCATGTATCCTTTTGGACTTGCTGCGTACAGTTGTGGTCACCCTGCTGGAGAAGGATATTATTAAATTGGAAAGGGTGCAAAGGATGTTAAGGAGACTGGAGGGTTTGAGCTATAAGGAGAGGCTGGGTAGGCTGGAACTTTCTTCCCCTGGAATGTACAGGTCTTTAAAATCATAAGGGGCATTGGTAAAGGTGAATAGCCAAGTTCTTTTGTGTAAGGTAGTGGAGTCCAAAATAAACAACATAGGTTAAAAGTGATTTAAAAGGGACCCGAGGGGCAACTTTTTCACACACAGCGTGGTGTGTATATGGAACGAACTACCAGAGGAAGTGGTAGATGTAGATACAACATCAGGGACATGAATAGGAAAGGTTTAGGAGGATATGGGCCAAATGCAGGCAAATGGGGCTAGTTCACTTTAGCATACCTGGCTGGCATGGGCGCGTCAGACAAAAGCATCTGTTTCCATGCTGTATGACTCTATCTAATACTGTTCTTCATGAGTGTTTCTGGAAGATTCTGTTGTAATGATTGCCGTGTGATGTGTGTCTCACAGTCATAGTTCCTCCAGTTCCTTGTCTGCATTGCTGTCTAGCATTTAACCTAACAGTTTCTGTGGTGACCATTTTTCTCCCCTTTCCCCCCGAACAGTGGTATCTGGAATGTTCCGTACATCACGCAGGTTTACCTGATCAAAGGGGAAATTCTGCGTAATGAACTGAGACAGAAGAATGTATTTACGCAGGTCGAACTAGATCCTGATATGATCTTCTGCAAGAATCTCCGGGCAAAGGTATAGAAGGAGAGAACGACAGCATAGAGAATGGGAGGCAGGGGGGCCATGGAGTGGGTGAGGAAGAGAGAGAGGGAGGGAAAGACAGACATATTTGGTATGGAATGGCATGTGTGCGTGCGTGGCAGGGAAGAGACACGCACCCACACACACACGCACGTGGCGGGTAAGAGACACGCACCCACACATGGCGGGGAAGAGACACGCACCCACACACGGCACGGAAGAGACATGCACGCACGCACGTGGCGGGGAAGAGACACGCACGCACACACATACGTGGCAGGGAAGAGACGCGCGCGTGGCAGGGAAGAGACGCGCGCACGCACGCACGCACACACACACGTGGCAGGGAAGAGACGCGCGCACGCACGCACACGCGCGGCAGGGAAGAGACGCGCGCACGCACGCACGCGGCAGGGAAGAG